CACGCAGGAACATATCCATCGGAGACTGCCCTGATAGGCGCCCGGATCCACCCAACATACCCCCTCCCCCGAGCACACACGCTCACAATTCCACCAAGGAAGGCCAGATGGACCCCAGAATAGAACCAAAAAAGGGGACAAGGGCAAGTGAGCAAAAGCAACTGGCTCACGCTAGTAGACAGAGAATGATTGAATCCAAGGAAAAGAAAACAGCAACGCCAGAAAGCACCAGTATAATAAGAGATGTGTGCTCTTTAAGAACAAACCAAGTAGAGAAAACGGACAGACCGATAACTAGATCAAAGATAAAAAGGACTCCCAGCAATCTTGCATTATGCTCTGATGATGTCGGTAGTGCTAGCCGACGAAAGCTCAGCTTTAGCTTTTATATTAAATGGTTTTTGTTTTAATATTATCCTGGTGCTCGGACTATTTTATTTCTATGATACTGTATACATATACACATACACATACAATATACATAGACATACACATATACATATAATACTGTATACACATATACATACACATATACATACACATAGTGTATACATATGCACATACACATACAATATACATAGACATACACATATAAATATACATACTGTATACACATACACATATACATATATATACATATACATACTGTTCTTAAGAATATTAAAAATAAAAATAAATGCAAGAACACCAGGAAATTATAAAACTATAAAAAGTTTTAATAAATTTAAAACACCAAGCTTTTGCCGGCAACTGCCGACATCGTCAGGGTGGTTTCCAGTCGATGGGAGAGGCTATTTATAGCTGTGGTGTTCTTTGCGCCCGGCTCATGGATCTCGTCACGGGACCCAGCCAATCCATCTGCACTTTGATCCTAGTTTCCGTGTTACTGATTGTTGTTTTCTTGCTTTCCTTTGTACCAACATTCTCATCCTTTTTCTCCTCATGTGGTCGTGGGTTGGGGGAGCTTGCATGTTTTTGTTATTTGTTTTCCTTATCCTCCTTCCTGTTACTCCCCCTCCTCATTCTCCTCCCACCTTCCCTCTTTCCATAGTCTTTATTCACAATTATCACCTCATTGCTTTCTCCTACATAGCCAGCTTTCATTGTAGTTGTCTTATCGTGACTTCCATTCTCTGATGTTACTTCACTAACTTTCATTTTCTTGTCAATGGGGGCATTTCCAACAATACCGTCAGGGTTTGTAACATTCTTAGCCTGGCTGTCACTCCCCCCTTCGCACAAAATCCTCGGTGTGGGGGTCATCCCCTCTCCATGGCTCATACTCCTCTCCATTCCCTGAGGGTGAGCGATCGTCTTCAGGGGAAGGGAAGGGGGTGGGTTTTTCAGTTCCTGGTTTCTCACTCCCTGCCTATTTCCGGGGGGAATCCCCCTTCTGAGATGTTTCCTGGGGTGTGTGGGAGCTGCAACATTGGGAGCGATCTCCTCTTCAGCCTCCCATGGTTCGCTCGCATTATCGAGGTGAGACCACGTTGTTAAGATGCCATCGTGGATGGGGTTAATCATGGAGCCACTGGTGGGGGTGGGGGCGATGTTACAGCCCTTCCATTCACGATTGTCTCGCGTCTGGGTGCTGATAAGGGACCGTGTCATTACACAATTATTCATACGGCATGGGGAGACCTCAGATTCACTGGCAGTAGGCTCACAGCTGTTAATACGTTTTTCCACTTGTTGGGAGTCAAACTTTTTATAGTTTTATAATTTCCTGGTGTTCTTGCATTTATTGCTAGCTAAACATATACATACTATACATATATATATATATATATATATATATATATATATATATATACACACACACACACATACACATACACATAGTATATACATATACACTATACATATACACATATACACACATATATATGTGTGTATTTATATATATATATGTATATAGCATGTGTATATGTGTTATGTATGTGTATGGGTAGATACATATTTTCTTTGAGAGCAGGCAACAGAATTTCATTTTTAATGTGGGCCAGTCTGCTCATAGTAAAAAAAAGGACAATAAAGGTTATCTTATGTCAAAGGAATACATATTTGCATTATAACTTTTTTTTTTACAATGGATTTAGGAATACTTTGTTTTTTGTGGAATATACAGTTTGTAGGGCTTTGCAGACAGAAACTCTTGGCCATCTCCTGGTACACAGCCAAACCATAGGGGATGCGATGGGAAAGAGACCTTAAAGCAGGGGTATCAAACTGCTGTCCCTAGGGCTAGATGCATCATAGCGAAACTGCGCCCACCCCATTGCAGGCAATGGCAAAAGAGTCACAATATATCGTGACATGTCACATGACGTTTCGGGTTTAATACCCCTGCCTTAAAGAGTTCTTGTCTGAATGGGATACTCTTAGATAATAGATGAGTTGTGCCAGTCTTTGAACTAGATATAAAACTTTTGTGCTTCCAAGTAGTCAGCTGTATATAAACAGGAGGGGTGATGACAACTGACATGTGCTTGTCTTTTACTTGCCATCATGCTAATGTTTTCTTAACTTTTCACAAATTTATACAAAATTATCTTGCAAAGGAGAGATAGATTTAGTCGGGATCAAAATGGATCATAGGATTGGGTTCATAATAAGTTTGCATCTTAGCAACTACTATGCTTTGGTTGACCTCTGATTACTCTATTCTGGTTTGATAACCACTAAGAAGAAGGAATACAAAGGAGAAACTTGGGTTTTAATGGATCTCCTGTAGCTGAAGGGCTATACAATTGAGAGACATTTTACTGGCCATGCTAGTTGGACTTCATGGGGTTTGAAGTATAATACTTTTGAAAGACACAGTGTTTTTAATCTGTCCTCTCATAATGGAGTCCATATGAGACATAGAGCTGTTTTATGACCTTATTTCACTGTAAGCTCCTAAACTGGGGAGCAGGAGCCACTTATGATGCAACACAAATTGACTTTCCTAAATATGATAATTAAGAGGATTTTATGGAAACCTTTAGATTTTGCTGCCATTTACTTGGAAATCAATTTTTACATATTAGGTAGCTAACTTTTGAGGAAGCTATTTAGCCTACCACTTTTCCTGATATTTCTTTAGAAATGTTAGTGACACACTATAGGATATCTAGCATCCATTAGATGCAAATGTGTATCGATGATGATTTTAAAAGTCTCTTTAATTGGGGCAGATATATTTTGGATCCAGATCTTGCTTGCCTTTTATTATTTTCTTTGCAAGTAAGTGAGCATTGCCAGCCTTTTGGTACACTAAAGAAAGTGCAAGAACAAATGTATTCATTCTCTTTTCAGTAATAACATAGGCGTGGCTTCCTGGCTTCAGATGCTGGAAGCCCATGTGGTCAGTCAGTTTCCACATTCTGTAGAAAACATCTCTGATTTCCATTTACAGTTGGCAAAATGTGGGTTTCTCCCACGCATTGTGCTTGCATCCAAAATCACTAAAGTGACTGAAGTTAATTGCTGCAAAAATAAGGAGATGGATGGAAACTTCTGTTTTAGTCAGAAGGCATTTAGTTTACTAGGACATCTAGGCATATAAGAAGGTGACAACCGAACCCACGATGACAGCTAGATACATCATAATAATAATAATAATAATAATAATAATAATAATAATAATAATAATAATAATAATAATAATAGTTGGAAGGGACCTTAGGGGTCATCTAGTCCAACCCCCTGCTCAGGCAGGAAACCCTATACCATTTCAGACAAATGGTTGTCCAGTCTCTTCTTAAAAACTTCCAGTGTTGGAGCATTCACTGCTTCTGGAGCAGGTTTTCCACTGGTTAATTGTTCTAACTGTCAGGAAGTTTCTCCTTAGTTCTAGGTTGCTTCTCTCCTTGATTAGTTTCCATCCATTGCTTCTTGTCCTGCCTTCAGGCGCCTTGGAAAATAGCTTGACTCCCTTTTCTTTGTGGCAGCCCCTGAGATACTGGAACACTGCTATCATGTCCCCCCTCGTCCTTCTCTTCATTAAACTAGACATACCCAATTCCAGCAACCTTTCCTTATATGCTTTAGCCTCCAGTCCCCTAATCATCTTTAATATAATACTTCTGCAAGTATTATTACTGGAATGCCTTTGCTCAGGGAGAGGATGGTTATATACATGGATATGATCGGACTCGCGGTATGACTGTATTATTTTATTGTTTTATGATTGTTTTAATCTCTGTATGCCGCCCTGAGTCCTTTGGGATTGGGCGGCATATAAATAAAATTAAATACAAAATACAAAATCATGAGAGGTGGAAATCTCTTTTAATTCAGTAGGGGGAATTTCCATTATTTGATCAGGAAGAAATAGACCAAAACTAGGAGGAACTGTGTCAATTCTCCTGAAAGCACAATCAACATTCAGGGTTCCTCCACAACATCACACAGTGACTTATCCATATTTAAGGATATCAGAGCAATGTATGATGAAGTCTCAGTGTTCTTTCCTTTTCATTCTAAAGGATTGAGAAGCAGAAATATAGAAGGAAGAGAAGAAAGACTCAATTTGTGCCTAGACTCTACCTATAAAGAAGTTCTGAGATAAGGAATTGAGGATCTGCTCTAGTAAAGCAGAAGAAAATATATATTTGAAATTCATTTTGACAATAACCATGGTGAATTATATTCAAGGACAGAGTTATTATGTCCTCTCTGCCTATTGGCCTGCTAAATGGTTGGGTACAGAGAGCAACAAACACATATACTGTCAAGGATTGGGGACAAGGAGATTTCCTTCTATATCAGTTTTATAATCTTAAGGCTGCCCTGCTCTATTTCTGAATTAAGGGTAGCAAAGGATAATTCTGCCATTCATGTTTTTTTTAATCCAGGGTTTTTCAAACTGTGTTCTGCAGAACCCTAAAGTTCTGCTATAACTTGATGGGTTCCATGAGAGATTAAGGGGGGGGGGAAGATACAGTTAATTTTCTACCACTTTTGATCAGGGATTCTGTTCTTTTTAAAAAAACTAGGAAGTTCTGTCACCTGAAAAAAGTTTGAAACTCTCTGTTGGAATCCTCTATCCATTTTGAGCGAGCTCTCCTTTGCTCATCTGTCTTAGGTACAGATCTTCTCTCTGCTATTGATCATCACAGTTAATGAGTTTAAGAAGAGTCCTTTTTCTTCTCTCCCATTTCTTTCCCCTTTTTCTTCTTCAGTTTAATTATCTGAAGTAGACAAGCATCTCCAGCCAATTAGAAGACAATTACTGGCTCTAATCAATATTGCTTTCCAAGGAAAGCACAGAAACTAAACAATGTCTTAAGATATAAACAAAGGGCTTTTCCTTGCTGGTGAACTGAAGTGTTCTCCACTCATCCTTGATTCAGCAGAAAATGACAGGGGCAAGAAATTAAATGTCCTCACCTACTTCTGTTCTCTCTGTTCACTGCCAGGCACCTGAGTTTTCTTCAAGATAATGGGTGACAGAGCCCAACAGATTTCATGTGTCTTGCAACTGGTTAGTAGGCTAGCTCATGTATAAAGGAAGAAAGTGCAAGCTGTGTGTAAGGACCTACCTCATTTAAGCCTCCCAAGAAAGCAGAACTCTTGAAATGGGCATTGTCTCAAAAGGAACTTTTATTAGGGGCTAGCGATAGCAGGGAAAACAAGGTGAGATCTGAGGAAAAACCCATGCAATCAGTATATTAAAAGCAATGTCATTACTCCCCCCCCACCAGGGTCCCAGTGTTTGTTTGAATTTCAGCCAATCCACAGGTGGCATAGTGTTTTGGTAACTGGTTCCATTGGCACACTCTTCAAGGTCTCTCCCACTTTCATTACCTTCTGGCTTCAAGAGTCTCCTAGATAAGGGTGATGCATCCTTCTCCTTGTCTCCATAGTGGCAAGACAATGCAAAGCATCTCCAAAGTATCTCCCCTTCCAACAGAATGGCAGGCCTCAAAAGCACAGTACACTGTACAAAAGCAAGTACACTGTAAGGAGGGAAACAATGCATTTCTTTGGGGATCTGACACTGTGTAATAGGGATGTGAGAGGAAAAAGGATATTTCTAGAACACATTAGTAACTATGGGAAATTAACTTGTTATCATACATGAGAAAGGGATCCACTTCTGTGAATCTCAAAGAACTGATTTTAGTAGTGTACCATATATATGGGCTTAATGTCTGTGGAGATTCTTAGTCATCCAGGTCTTAGTTCCAACATGAAGCATTGGAAACAAAAGAAAAACAAGAAGCAGAAAAGTAGATCTACCATTTACAATATATGTAATTGATATCTACAATTTAAGATATCAATACTACTAGCATTAAAATTAGCTGGCTTTTTCATTTAAAGTTAAAATCAGAAAAAAAACCACCCTGTGATTTGCAACAAAGTATTGTTATATAATAAAGGTTTTATTCTTTAAGCTAAATTACTTAATATTAACATTACTATTATATTGTTCTTGGGGTATGTGTATTTCATGTTAATGAAATGAAGAAATATAAATGAACAATACAAATTTAACCAAAAAGGAAAATACTAAAAAGTTGAAAAAAGAGAGAAGACAGAAGATAGATGATAAAAAGATAGATAAATAGATAGATGAGAGAGAGAGAGAGAGTGATGATAGATAGAGGATATATATCAGGGGTGTCAAACAGGTGGCCCTAGGGCCAGATGCATCATAGTGAACTGCACGCATTCCATTGCTGACAATGGAAAAAAAGTTGCGATACGTCGTGACATGTTACGTGACATTGCAAGTTTGACACCCCTGATATAGATAGATGTTAGATGATTAGATAGACAGACAGATATTTAAAAGAATTATTAGGTTTTGACTTTTTATGCATCTGCAATCTTTATATACATATAGACTTCTTTGGAAGCCAAACTGATTTGATTTGATTTGATTTTATATTTTATTTTTTGCAATGCTGACTGATGTATTGAGAGTATGGGAACTATTCTTGCTTAAATTTGGTTAAACTTCTTTGCATGTATATACAATCAACTTGTTTTTTTTTTTAAAAAAAAACCCACAGACCTTAAATGCAAATTATATCTCATCAGATTGCACAAAACAGCCTTTAATAAATTTTTATTATTAAAAATAGAATAAAAAAGCACTCCTCTACATTATTTCTGTTGCTCAGTGAAGAGACCTCCAACATTGTGGAAAATGAACTTGGGTTCTGCCTTTTGCCTGCCAAATATTCTAAACTAGGATCCAAAGGGAACATTTTGATTTTATCATCTTTGCATAAAGGGGCCTTCAGAAATGAATGTGGCAATTTGACACAGGGTGACAGTGATTACATTCACATTTGCACAACCTCTCTTCACAGATTATAAGACTCTTTCCCAGATGAACATATGAAAGAAATATATACTTCAAGCTAGAAGTTTCCACAGGACAGGATTAAAAAAAGTCAAGATGGCAACTATAGCCATGCAAATGAGGCCCTGCCCTTTTTTTATAAACACTGCAACATGTACTGCGTTATTGTATGACCCTTCTCCCAATACCATCCACAAAGTAAGAAGGTTAAGTTACACTGTGATTCTTCAGAAATTGCCCATTTCTCCCCTAACACACTGCTACTTTTCTGTACATTATTACTAAAATAAGAATTTTCAAATGGGCCTTTCCCTAATTCTGTACTTTTTAAAAATTGCAACCTCCATTGAGAAATTCAGAGAAAGATGACATAAAAAATAATTGAACTTTGGTTTGTATATAGGTGTGAAAATATGAAGTTTGGTAGGTGCATATTTAGATGTAAACTACATGAAACTCCTCATTCCTACCACCGACTTGATTTTACAACTGGGTTGCTGTCCATTTGCTAATATCTTCACCATCTCTGGAGTCATCAGAAGAAAAATGTTAAGAATGAGCCACTCACACTGCAAATCAAGATCATTCTTGCAACTAACTCCTCTTTTCATGACATTGTTCCCATAGCTACTTATTAAGGAAGAGTTCATGGGCTTTTCAGAGATAGGGATTCTGTGTAGTTGTCCTTGCCTCACCTTTTTGAATGCAATGTACAAATCATGCTTTCATGATAGAAAATATAGAAAAATATCAATAGTGGCACTATTTTCATATTTCTGTTGTGCAAGTTTTATGAACATAATATTCATTTGTTTATAAGAATAAAGAGACCGAGTTCTCATGAGTGAGAGGATGAATTGGAGTCATAGGTTGAGAACATAAGAGGCAAAAAACATAAGTTCTGTGCAACCCACTAAGAACTCTCATGCTGGCTTAAAGTTTTCTGTGTACAACTAAGAGAAATGCACACACACACCAAAAAAAAAAAACAAAAAAAAAAAACCAAAAACCACAATGTCAGAGGTGTTTGTCTTCATGGATAAGGGAAGTAGTTCTTATTGTAATACAGATTATTTGCCTTGAAAACAAAAACAAAATGGTAAGGAATAGTGTGTGCCAGTAAACAAAACAAAACTATTTGGTCCTTTAGAATAGTGTCTCCAACTTGATTATAATTTCCAGCAGCTTGGTCTCCAACATAACTAGAAAGCGTCAGATGGGGGAAAGTTATTTCCCACTCTATTCTATCCCGTCCCTTTTCATCCAGGCACCTGGCTGGAAATTGAAGGCATTTTTCTTGGCACCATAATTCCAGGCAGTTAAAGGAAAAGCCCATTGCATTTCATTCATCCACCTTTAGCATTATCCCTAAGACCAAATGGAGGCCTTCTACCTATTTCATTCTGCTGCAAATCACAAGTTGAAGTCCTCTGAAGGCTACAATATTATCAGAGCTATTTCAGTGCTGCCTACTCAGCTGAATTGCTAAAAATATGGGTTCTTTGTTGTCTTTGCCACTAAGGCAGTATTCCAGTTCAAACATACAGTATCTCTAAGAAGAAGGGTTTTCTATGCAGTGCCCTATAGTTTACATAAATGTTATCTATTTTTTAAAGAGCAAACAGCCTTTATTTTTTGCTAGAGAAATTTCTCTGATGAAGGCTTTTAAAATGCACTAGACAACCCATGCCCATTGGTCATCATTTCAGAGATATATTTTTTTACCTAAACAGAGAAACTGAATGACCATGGGTGGGCAAAAAAGCAGTGGGAACACTAGCAATAGCACTTGGACTTTTATACTGCTTCACAGTGTTTTACAGCCCTCTCTAAACAGTTTACAGAGTCCGGATATTTGCCCCCAACAATCTGGTTCCTCAATTTACCAACCTCAGAAGGATGGAAGGCTGAGTCAACCTTGAGCCAGTGAGAATCAAACTGCTGGTAGAATTAACCTGCAATACTGAATTCTAACCATTGCACCACCACAGCTTTATTCAAGTTCCAGCAATTTCCTATTTCCTGCTGGTTTCCCCATTGAGTTTCCTTGTGGGAATCTTGCAGGGAGCATCAGAAACTTCCCTTCCCTTCTCTTCCCTTCCCTGCCAACAGGGAGATAAATGCCTGCTGCTGGGTGGAGAGGGGAGCAAAGATTGGAAACTCTTATGGAACATTGAAAATGATGATCACACAACAGAAATGACAGGTCAAAAAATCCAATATAAACCAGAGATGCTACTACTAGGAATATTAGAAACAAAGGTATCATACACGTGATAACGGCGGCAAGAATTTTGTTTGCCCAAAATTGGAAAGCAACTGAAGTGCCTAGCAGAGATGCGCTAATAAGAAAAATTTTGTATTGCGCAGAATTGGATAAGATGACTAAAGAAAAAACCAGGAGGAAACAGAATACTACTTAATTTGGAATAAATTTTACAAATGGAGGGAAAAAAGAAGGAAGTCAATAGAAGGGATATAAGTAGAGGAAGAATATTAGAAATGTATAGCTGCATATCAATATATAATATTTATTCTTGTATGTACAGTATGGAATGACAAAGATATATGTCAAGGATGATACAGTACGTTCAATGTTTTTAATTTTGTATTTAATAAAATGTATAAATTTAATTTTTTTTAAAAAAAATGATCACATGACTGCAGTAGCATCCCAATAGTGGAGTAGCAGCAGCCTGTAGCACTGAAGCAACTACAACTTTCCGAAATTTCATTGCCTCGGGGGGTCCCAGATTTTGGACACATTCTATAAGTTAGTCCATTTGAAGTACTTTAGTTCAAAAATATTTGCCCTTTGATGGACCTTTTCACCCAGAGTTTTAGTAGTATATAGATATCTCTCAGATACAAACCTTCTGATTTCTTTTGGTAGAAAGTGGCTGTACCTAGCTGACACTGTTAGAACTTGCAGAATTGCCTCCCTTAAAGCTTGGATGGGAGAATTGCAGACAGCATCAAGGTGATATAGTCCCATAGAATTTCTGGAAGAATTATTTTACTTTCTTACTTCCAAACAAGAAAGAGAGGGAGAATAACTGTAGGAGGAGAATCGTGTTAGCATATGATAGGGGGGAAAAAAACCCAATCCTTTTCCTGACTAACACATTTTATTAAAAAGCATAAACTTTTGTGAGTTGTAGTTCACTTTATCAAAGGATTTCTCTTCTGATTTTTTTTTGTATTAGAGAAATTATGGTTATAATGGTTTATGAAATTGGATGTGTTGTAAGATTGTGACTTACAATTAAATTATCCTAACAAAAGCCATTACACAATACACACTGCCATTTTGAATTATCATCTTCAGCCTTTGCTGAATTTCACCAACAGACACTTTAAATGATGGAAGACATTTTATATGCCAGCCAAATTCATGTTGGCTGACAGAAACAGCAAATATTTCACAATGAATATGTTATGCAATAGCTTTGTCTTCCTTTTTCCTTCTCAGCTAAGCTACAAACACATGGTGATTGCCTTGAACGCACTCATTACTGGAAAATACCGTTTTCGAATTTTGTTACACTTGCAATTCAAGTGCGAATTGTAATTTGAGTTGTAATTTCAGCTCCTGTTGGACCAGTGGATGGCATGTTATTTTTTTTCTATGGATTGCTAAAGAAAGCTTAAATGGAAAATGAATGGGAAAATAATGAATTTTATTTATTTATTTTGAAAAAGAAGGCAGAGCATTTTTTTTTAAAAGGTGCATTGTTAGACAACGGGGCCAACTTTGAGTACTTGGATAAGAATAATCAGATTCCTGTGGCTTTTATTTTTTTGGATGCTGAAAAAGCTTTTGATCAATTGGACTGGCAATTTTTATTTTCTTTGGTAGAGAAAATGAATTTTGGGGATAATTTTTTACATGCACTTAAAGCTATATATCAGCAGCAATCTGCACAAATTGTTGTAAATGGGGGATTGACTGAGAATTTTAATATTCAAAAAGGGACAAGACAAGGATGTCCATTATCCCCATTGTTATTTGTTTTAACATTGGAAATTTTATTGATTCAGATTCGGGAATCAAAGTTAATTAAGGGTGTAAAGATAAGGAAGAATGAGTATAAATTGCGGGCATTTGCGGATGATTTGGTTTTAATTTTGGAACAGCCGAATCAGGCGATTGATGGTTTATTAGAACTTATAACACAGTATGGGAATGTTTCTGGTTTTAAAGTTAATAATTATAAGACTAAGATATTATCTAAGAATATGTCAGTTAAAGATAGGGAAAGTTTGATTAAAGCCACAGGTTTTCAGATGGTAAAAAAGGTTAAATATTTGGGTGTATATCCAACTGCTTCAAATGGAAAATTGTATAAGAACAATTATGAACCACTATGGGCAAAAGTCCAAAAGGATTTAAGAGATTGGAAAAAATTGCAATTGTCATTGTTGGGGAGAATTTCAGCTGTAAAAATGAATGTTTACCAAAGTTTCTTTTTTTGTTTCAGATGATACCTATTCTTAAAAAAGAGGCAAATTTGGAGGAATGGCAAAAGGGTATCAATAATTTTATATGGGCCGGGAAGAAACCAAGGGTTAAATTTAAGATATTACAGGATGCTCGAGAAAGAGGGGGACTTAAGGCACCTAATTTGAAATTATATTATGATGCAGCCGCCCTAACTTGGTTAAGTGATTGGCTTAATTTAACAAATATGGATATTCTTTTTTTGGAAGGTTGGGATTTAATATATGGTTGGCATGCATATTTAATTTTTAATAAGAAAGTTGATCGGACTTTTAAATCACATATTTTGAGGAATGCCTTACTTCGTGTTTGGAAGAAGTATTATTATAGATTAAATTATAAAATACCTATCTGGGGGATTCCCAGACATGCAATTGAGGGAACTTCTAAGGTGACAAATTTTGACAAAATCTCGTATAAAGAATTGTTAATTTGCTCTGGTTCGAATTGGCATTTGAAATCCCTAGACGTATTAAGGCAACAAAATATTCTACAGTCATGGTTTCAATATTTACAAATAATGGATAGATGGACTGTAGACAAGAAAGAGGGAATAACACTAGAAGATAGACAATTGGTCATTCAGATTAAAAACCAAAGTCCGGCTCATATAAAAAGAATATACAATGTTTTATTAGAGTTAGATTCGGAAACAGAATTGGTTAAAGACTGTATGATTAAATGGGCTCAGAATATACAGGAGCCGATTTCATTGGATTTATGGGAGACAATTTGGATAAGAAATGTTAAATTTACACAAGCTCAAAATTTGAGAGAAAATTTTTATAAAATGTTTTATAGATGGCATTTAGATCCTAAAAAATTATCTTGTATGTATTCCAATATACAGCCCAAATGTTGGAGATGTGGCAATAATGATGCGACATACTTTCATATTTGGTGGAATTGTAAAAAAGTAAAGGCTTTTTGGATTATGATTTGGTGGAACATTCAAAAGATTTTTAGAAAAAAGATAAAGTTTACTCCTCAACTATTTTTACTTGGTATTTTTGTTGACTTAAATGAAAAAGAAACTACTTTGATGTTGAATTTATTAACTGCAGCAAGGTTACTAGTAGGTTTATATTGGAAGAAAGATTCCTTGCCTACTTTAGAAGAATGGATATTTAAAGTATCTACTTTTGCAGAAATGGCAAAAATTTCTGCTTATTTAAAGGATCATACACAAAAAAGATATATTACTGTATGGGGAAGGTGGATAGATTATATTCAGAAAAAGTATGGAATTAAAAAGTTTCATTTATTTTATGAGTGAATATTAAATATTATAGAGAATTGTTTTATAGGTTATGGAGTTAAAGGTTAATTATGATATTTTTTTTCTTCTCTTTTTTTTCTTTTTTTCTTTTTTCTTAATTATTATATTTTTTTCTTATTATTAACCCTGTATTCTGCTCTGGGAAGTGAAGGGAGGGGGGTTGGGGGTGGGAGGGAGGGTAAGGGTGGGTTCTACTTTAAAATTTTATTGTATTTTTATAAATGATTGTATGTTTTAAAAAATAAAAAAAAATTAATAAAAAAAAGAGAACGGGGCCAACTAAACAGGTTTGCCAAAAAAGAAAATATTCAGCACACATTTCTGGATGTTTTGGGGATGGATGAAGATGGCATCATGAGAAATTGTCAATAGAAATGTATTTTTCATTAACACAAGACCTGTGTTCTTTGTGATTTCCCAAGCCAAAGTTGAGGTATCAGCGGTATATTATGTAACAAATTCTTAATATCCTACCTGAATCTTATCCTTGCAGCCAGAAACTGCTAGACATTTCACTGAATGTCTGGCGTAAATGGTCCTGACAGGTCCAAAGTTGAGAAAACGTGATTCTGGTCTTAACGTGGAAAACATCTGATGAAGTGTGGACAAGAAAAAAAAAAGACAAAGACAGCGAAAGAGAGTGAGGGAGCGAAGGTTAATAATTTTCAAATAGTTGTATAAAATAAGATTTAAATATTCTGAGCTGAATTTAGCCCACCAACTATTTGTTCCAGCCTCAATTGCTTGACCACCCCCTTGTTTGTTCGGCCTTAATTCCCTTAATGTTTCTTAAGTTCTAACAGGTGGTATAATAAGACAGACATATCAGTCATCAAGAATGGTCCCAATGTGTGAGAACATTCTATGAAAATGACTACATCCAGCTCTTACTTATCAGTGTCAGAGTAGAAAAGTGTACTTACAGTGCATCGTTACATAAAATGCTTGATAGCCAATGCATTTGGCACAATAAGGGGTTGTATGCCACCAAGATGAAAAAGAGAAAGGGAGTATTGATTCCCATTGTTCTACTGCAGGGGTCTTCAAACTTGGCCCTTTTATGACTTGTGGACTTCAACTCCCAGAATTCCTCAGCCAGTGTGCCTGGCTGAGGAATTCTGGGAGTTGAAGTCCACAAGTCATAAAAGGGCCAAGTTTGAAGACCCCTATTCTACTGTATCTTTATTATCTCTGGATGAGTATCTCTCTTTAAATCCTTTTCGCTTTTTGGAGAGATTCTGAGGACATGTGCCACTAGCCTCATGATTCTAAACCCCCTGAAGCTAAATCTCACCCAACACAGAAAGATGCAGATGGGAAGGGTGCATAAATCTATGAGTTGAATGCATTGTGTATGGCTCCATCTTCTACTCAACTAAAGTCCTCTCACATATTCCTTAATCATATCTAAAGAAGGCTTGGGATTCTTTGCATTTAATTATCCACCGTCTTATCCTCTCTATGCATCGCTGTTCCTATAATTAGGAAGCTGAAAAGGAAACTTTCCTGGTTTCTAAATGTCTATGGAGATTCTCAATCATCCAGGTCATGGTTGTCTCAAATGTGCTTTTTCAAAAAGCAAATGGACTTTCTTGTTTTTCCTTGAAGTCATTTCACTTCTCATCCAAGAAGCCTCTTCAGTTCTGACTTCAGATGTCATGCCTTGACATATAAGCAAACAATGGAAAATGGAGTAGACGAGTGATTGTTACTTCTGGGTTTTTCTCAGATACCTCCCACTGCATCTCCAAACAATCCTTCATCAAATACTCCAAGAATGCTGTGATCACACTTGGAAATAAATGGTTTAAGGGTCCCAGGACCAAAGTAGAACTGATGGAGAAGCTTTATCAACATAACTGTCATGTTCATATAAAAAGCAGAGCTGTAACCCAGAAGAGAGAAATTAGGGCAATAAAGTACAATGGGGTCAGAAAGCGGAAAAATGGATTCCATTCCATTCCATCCATCCTCTTTTTCATGTTTGAGATAGAGGCACCCCACTATCCTTGTTTTTATTTGGCAGTGGAAAAAAAGCACGTAGAAATAATTGTCCTGATCTGATCATCGCCTTTGACTATTATAATTAAAGGAAGATTACACTGATCCACTAAGAATATGGCATGCTTCATAAAAGGGAACACAGAAAGTGAAGCCTTCTGGTGAAGGGGGAAAAATGGGCCAATTTCAAGTGACCTTGCCAGACTAAATGAACTGATACAAATGGGAGAACTTTGTTATGTTTATTTATATGCTGTCCAGCATCCATTAGTCGCCAGACTTTGCTACAGTAGCACATTTCTAAATGAGGCAATTCCAATACTATGAAGCCTGAAAAGTGAAAATCATTATGACAACCTCATTTGGATAAGATAAATAAATAAATACCCCCTAGTCTTTCTGATGAAAGAGTATGCTATAGATAATGAGCTCACATAAGATGCATTCAGTCAATAATACCCAAAGATCAATACATTTCAATGATGTTTTATGTCCCCTTTGATATGGTTGGGGATCAGGTGCCAGCTCATACTTTCAGAAATAGAGAAAGATAAATAGGAAACTCATTTAGGATGGGACAGTGATAGCATTACTATTTTTTCTCTTCCTACAGTATCAGTGACCCCAAATTGCAGTGACACTATAGTCACTTTTGATTCTTGAATTGAGTTGTGATGGGGAAGATAGAATCTCTGCGCTAAGATTTATATTGTAGATAGTCTCCAATAATCACTGTGGACAGATCCATAGTATAATGGAAAAATTCTAAGCTTACCAAGTGGAATTTGACTGTTTCTTCCATGGTGTGACAGAATATTTTTGAACTTGAGTAGAATTTTAAAAACAGAGTGCAATAACTGCTTGATGAAAAATTGGGAAACTGGATGAAAGAAACTGGTGCGAGATATAACAGAATGACAGAATAACAGAGTTGGAAGGGACCTTGGAGGTCTTCTAGTCCAACCCCCTGCTCAGGCAGGAAACCCTACCATTTCAGACAAATGGTTGTCCAATCTCTTCTCAAAAAACTTGCACCCACAACTTCTGGAGGCAAGGCATTCCACTGTTTAATTGTTCTTGTTGTCAGGAAATTTCTCCTTAGTTCTAGGTTGCTTCTCTCCTTTGATTAGTTTCCATCCATTGGAATTTGGAAAATACATATTGGGGAGGACAGCACTTCGGTCCTCCACATAAATTGGAAAAATTATCTGTTATTTATTTATTTATTTTGTTTATTAAAATTTATAGACCGCCCCATTCCCGCAGGACTCTGGGCGGCTAACAATAAAAACACAACATAACTTAACAAAACAAACAATACAATAACATTCATCCAGGGGTCAGATTTTATAAACCCCAGGCCTGCCGGAAAAGCCAGGTCTTAAGCAGCTTGCGGAAAACCAACAGGGTGGGAGCGGTCCTAATCTCTGGGCGGGAGCTGGTTCCAAGACGTGGGCGCCATCACAGAGAAAGCCCACCTTCATTTTAATAACCTCTCAGAACCAAGAAATGTATAGATTCTGAGTCAGTCTGGTCTTACTTTGTCACTTTTACCATAGCTGTCATGTTGGAGACAATGTAAATATTTATACTTGTACTAGAAAAAAACAACAATGGGCAGTAGGATGCTGGGTTGTTGTTTTCCTGGTTTGGTCAATAACACAATCATCCCAGCTTTTCTTAATGGCAAATGGCAAATTGTCAATATATGACTGTCCATTATTTCTTTAATATCCATTAACTAAGTAAACATCCAGTGACACTAATGGATTTTGTTTTTAAATGGATAACCGCTCCTGAGAGACAAGGGGAAAGATTCAGAAATAAGCATTAAATGAAATGCGAAAAGCCTACACATAACAATCCCAATCCAGAACATTTCCCCAAGTTTTTTTTTTTTTTTAAGAATAATTTTAACAATCGGGCCAGGTGCACTAATATTAGCTGCTTGTTATCTTCCTCTCAAGCCTGACCTTAAAACCTTAATTCTGGCTCCTAATGATTTAAAGTCAGAACCATAATCAGTTAGGTTATCTTCTTCCTCATCAGCATTTTAATCTGTGGGTTTTTCTCTTTGGTCAATTAGAAGTTTTATACAGACATTCTATCCACCAATCCCTTTTTTGCACCAATCCAAATTGTATTTTATGATCAGCAGCCGCATCTTTTCTTACTTGTCATTTTCGATCATATTGAATTTCCTTTCCTTAGAAACAATTACTATGGCAGCAACATCTATTTTCTAATTTCCAAATACTACAGAGAGAACCATTCCTGATTCCGTTCAGATCGGAGATTTGAGGATCAAAGAGAGAATGGTTCTACTGAACTCAAAAGAGTTGGAGTGTAACCATTTAATCTCTCCTGTTTCCAAATGTAAGATTTGATTTAAAAAGAAGAAAAGAAATTTTGCTCCCAGGCTATGACAGGGAAACACCTAAACACCTGAAGCTTTCTTTTTAAAAAAAAAAAAAATTTTTTTTTTGGCAAAATGCAGGATATGTTCAAAAAAGTCAAGAGGGCAGCTATGAATGGGTTGATTAAAGCTGTGTTTTTTATGTGCATATAAATACAGGTCAAAATTCAATGACTTCATTGTGGTTGCTAAATTAACTTTTTTGACCACACTCTGCAGAAAATCCTGACCAGTTGGGATAAAAGTAATGGTATATTGAAGTGGAATAAAGTAGAATAACATAGAATAAAATGAAGAATAAAGTAGAATAATAATAATGATGATGAAAAATCATTATTCAAGTAAAATGATGTGTCTGCATAATTCCTGGACGAAAGCTGTGTTAGCAAAAGCTGTGTTAACAATACGTGATTGACCTAATGCACATTGAGAAACATTATATAAAGTAAAACTCTCTTCATTGTATGCCTGTGAGAAACTAACCGAATGATATACAATGTAGATTCCATGTGAGCTTCTTTGTTCCTGAGAAAAGGAGAGCTATAAAATTGTAGTTTGAACCCACCCCCTTGGTTCAGAATTTGCTGTTGTTAACCGGCTTCTGAACCTTGCGCAAATAAACGTCTCTGTTACACCCTTTGGAATTCGTAAAAGTCCTTTTGTTTTCCACAAGAATATCCTTTAAAGGTAAGGTGAGAATAGATTAGGAAAGCTGCTGTAGTTAAAATGTTGGGAAAGAGAAAAGAAGAGATTAAAAAAAATTAAAATATGGTAAGTCTTGAGGTGCATTTAAAGAAATGTGCAGCTGTCATCATTTTAAAAAATTATATTGCTGTACTATAAATCTTAGTATATCATGTTGTTTCCATACACTGATGTTTGTAAAATATGTTTAAAAATGATTAGTATTCAATTATTTAAATAGCTTAGAAAGTTTATCAATGTTAGTTATAATTTAGGATGGCAAACATAAAAGTGCCCAGCTTTTTCACTCAAAATTGACTGTAACATTGAAAAAGAACGTTTCACATCAAAATGTTTGTTATGCACCAAAGATGTCCTTCTAAACTGATTAACTCTCATCATTTAAACTCCCATCTCTCCAGATTTCATTGGACTATGGATACCAGAGTCCCTCATTGGTCAATTCCTGCTACTTGCCCCTCCCATTTGT